ACACACACATACACACACACACACACACACACACACACACACAAACAGAACAAACAAACAGTAACGACTGTTAAGTGTCCAACTCCGTCATATGCCATTTTGAAATTAAAAGTAATGTAAGGCGGACTCGTACACTAAGCATGGTCGATATTCCTAATATTTTGTCATATTACAATGTCTAAGTAGCATTAAAGAGAATACAGACTATACAATATTTTTATCCCTATTATAAATTTATAAAATAATTTCTTTTTCTCTCTTTCCGTCTTTCAGATCCATTTTTCTAAATCATTCTCTGCGTTTCTATTTTCTTTTTTCTCTTTATTTGAGCTTTGTTTCTCAATCTCAAGAAGAAAAACAAATCTTTCTCGGCATGGACTCGAACCTCTGTCTCCATGTGACATGGATGGTTGTCAGGTGTTCTTCTGTGATTTGCTCCTTCATTCCTACCATGCGTCTATCGTCCGTATCTCTCACCCTTCTCTTCTTTTCTTGTTCCTATCTTGTGTTGCAAGAGCGGTAAAACTCTTACTAAAACTGAAATTGCCTGATCTACAGAAAGAGTTACTTATGACTGTACTACCGAGAACAAACTCTTTTTGATTCAAAACTGAAGTTACTTTACCCAAGAAGTGCGCACACTTGTGCTATACTATTTTTTTAAATTACTAGATTTTATATCACACTTTTGGCAAATTTCAAAACAAAGTTCGCCCTTCCCCAAGCCCACCATTATTATTTATTTTTCTTCTTTTTTGTTTGTTTCTGTATTTTTCTGGGGGGTTTTCGAAAAAGGGTTGGTCTATAAGCGATTCTCATTTATCTGACTGTTCTGTCGGCAGCACTCCTCTCCCGTTCCATTGCCAGAAAAAAAAAGAAAAACACCCAAATTAGGGATTTTTTCAGCGTGTCATAGCGGGCAAAAGGATTACAAACTCGATTTCTGCGTTATACGATTGAGGGAAAGGGACATAAAATATTTTTAAAATAAATAATGCTCATTATTGTTAGCCATCCCTGAATCCATGCGATCATTCCTCCCAGTAAACAGAAGGTACTCCTTAAAAAGACTTTCTGTCCTTTCGGGGTTCAAATTCGTTTCTTTTACGTGCAAGGCGAAGCGCTGCTTACACCATCATCGAAAAAGGTTCTGGCAAAGTCTTTTTAAAAGAAGCAATTCGTTGCTTAATGTCTGTCTATTTTCCTTTGTTCCTCTCTAGATTTGAATTCGCTCTAACGCCAAGTTCCTAGCTTAATGGTGGTTCTGTTTTATTCTTTATTTTGTTTTGCTATACTCTAGTGTTGGCCTATCGAGTTTTGCTACTTGACAGGTTCAACATGACAATACTCTACAGTCTAGGAATTTTACCCGGTAATTTCCGTGAGACTTCTGTATTGTACTGAGAAATCGTGGGTGTAATTATCTTTTCATCACTGCGAAGGTGTTGAAGAGGCGGGACCACATAATTTAACTTCCAACTCTTATAGGATCAAGCAAAGTAGGCCAAAAGCCGATCTTTTTTAATGTATGTTTTTAAATCCCATGTTGATACAGTTTACATCTTCTAAGAGGGGGGCATCGCCCTTGCCTGATTAGGCCAAACCCTGTTTAGAGGGATACAACGTCCCAACAAAGAAATCGAGGTACCTTGATGAGCCGCCATAAAAATTCCCTCGCATGTTTCACACTCAAGAATACCATGTTGTGGTGTCAGTAGTTTTTTTTAATTGATACTGGAACTGTATTTATGAGATTGCAAGTTCCGGTATTCGAAGCTCGGGTCAGTCTGACCTTGCGTCGTTGGGAAAGGCGCTATACTATAAACGAGTTTTCCCTTTTAACCCGGTCATAATATAGCGAACATTGAAATCGAAGGACCTGCCTGTTAACTAACCTAAGCGTGTTTAAAGAGGCGTTAAACATATACAATTTCTCACATATTTTCGAATGCCATGTTGATGATCGATAAGACCAGGGTCACTCGAACCGTAGTCCGGCGTTGTACAGAGAGTTTTACCGCAAGCCCCACTGACACTTGATAAATGATCATAATATTTCTTTCCAGATAAGTCATCCACTTTGCCGCTGTCTCATCGTGCTGGGCTATATAATATAACTATCAGTCAGAACGTACAAGAAATTTAGCCTGAAAACATCCACAAAGATGGCGCCCTACTCTCCTAAAGATATATCTTCGCTCTTCCGCTAATGCATCCCGCGTTCTCGACTCAAGTGGGCATCTGCCGAGGAGCTTTATTTACCTGTCTCTGCAGACACGTGCATCTGGTCGCTCCTTCACTCCCGTCGTGAGCAGAACTGTGCGTGAGATTAGTAAACAAGTACTGCCCCCCACCCCCCAAACGCCTTCAAATACCCACTCTCCGGATTAAAAAGGAGAGGGGGGGGGG